CACAATGTTTGGGTAGTTTTTGTGTTACCCAGATCCTTGGTCAAATGTAACAACCTAGTGTTTGGGTAGTTTTTGTGTTACCCAGATCCTAGGTCAAATGTAACAACCCAGTGTTTGGGTAGTTTTTGTGTTACCCAGATCCTTGGTCAAATGTAACAACCTAGTGTTTGGGTAGTTTTTGTGTTACCCAGATCCTGGGTCAAATGTAAAAACCTAGTGTTTGGGTAGTTTATGTGTTACCCAGATCCTGGATCAGATGTAACAACACAATGTTTGGGTAGTTTTTGCGTTACCCAGATCCTGGGTCAAATGTAACAACCTAGTGTTTGGGTAGTTTTTGTGTTACCCAGATCCTTGGTCAAATGTAACAACCTAGTGTTTGGGTAGTTTTTGTGTTACCCAGATCCTGGGTCAAATGTAACAACCTAGTGTTTGGGTAGTTTATGTGTTACCCAGATCCTGGATCAGATGTAACAACACAATGTTTGGGTAGTTTTTGTGTTACCCAGATCCTGGGTCAAATGTAACAACCTAGTGTTTGGGTAGTTTTTGTGTTACCCAGCTCCTAGGTCAAATGTTACAACCCAGTGTTTGGGTAGTTTTTGTGTTACCCAGATCCTGGGTCAAATGTAACAACCTAGTGTTTGGGTAGTTTATGTGTTACCCAGATCCTAGGTCAAATGTTACAACCCAGTGTTTGGGTAGTTTTTGTGTTACCCAGATCCTAGGTCAAATGTAACAACCCAGTGTTTGGGTAGTTTTTGTGTTACCCAGATCCTGGATCAGATGTAACAACACAATGGTTGGGTAGTTTTTGTGTTACCCAGATCCTGGGTCAGACGTAACAACCCAGTGTTTGGGTAGTTTTTGTGTAACCCAGTGTTTGGGTAGTTCTTGTGTAACCCAGATCCTGGGTCAGACGTACCAACACAATATTTGGGTAGTTTATGTGTTACCCAGATCCTGGGTCAGACATACCAACACAATGTTTGGGTAGTTTTTGTGTTACCCGGACCCTGGGTCAGATATAACTACCCAGTGTTTGGGTAGTTTTGTTTAACCCAGATCCTGGGTCAGACGTAACAACCCAATGTTTGGGTAGTTTTTGTGTTACCCAGATCCTGGGTCAGACGTAACAACCCAGTGTTTGGGTAGTTTTTGTGTAACCCAGTGTTTGGGTAGTTCTTGTGTAACCCAGATCCTGGGTCAGACGTACCAACACAATATTTGGGTAGTTTATGTGTTACCCAGATCCTGGGTCAGACATACCAACACAATGTTTGGGTAGTTTTTGTGTTACCCGGACCCTGGGTCAGATATAACTACCCAGTGTTTGGGTAGTTTTGTTTAACCCAGATCCTGGGTCAGACGTAACAACCCAGTGTTTGGGTAGTTTTTGTGTTACCCAGATCCTGGGTCAGATATAACTACCCAGTGTTTGGGTAGTTTTGTTTAACCTAGATCCTGGGTCAGACGCAACAACCCAGTGTTTGGGTAGTTTTTGTGTTACCCAGATCCTGGGTCAGATATAACTACCCAGTGTTTGGGTAGTTTTGTTTAACCCAGATCCTGGGTCAGACGTAACAACCCAGTGTTTGGGTAGTTTTTGTGTTACCCAGATCCTGGGTCAGATATAACTACCCAGGGGTTAAGTTATGAATCACAGGCTTGTCGTGACCTCTTCAGGAGAGAGAACTGCAGCTCTGTCAAATCGATGTCTTTGGTAAAATACAGGTTTGTCAGTCACAGCATATTTCGGCTATGAGTGAAACACAGGGCGTTTGAGGCGTCTGAAGTCAGAAGTTCCCCCGTTGAACATGACACAAGCTTCGGCACGAGATCCAGCGCCGTTACAGTGGAAACGGGACAACAGAGACTGGTCCACTACACTTGAATTACTTAATTTTATACATATTCTGGAAGCTGATTAAATAAGCTTTCCAGTGATGAATGGTTTGATAATATTTTCCCGAGATGCAACTATTTGTAAATCTGCAATCTGAGGGTGCAAAAAAATCGAAACATTGAGAAAATTGCCTTGAAAGTTGTGCATTTATATTCACGCTTGTGCTGAATCCACTTATTTACGGTAGGAAATTTACTAAACATCTTCAAGGAACATGATCTTTACTTAATATCCTAATGATTTTTGGCATAAAAGAAAAGTCCATAATTTTGACCCATACAGTATTTCCACAAATATACCCGTGCGACTTGTGACTGGTTTTGTGGTCCAGGGTCTCATATGTTTTCAAAACTATATAAAACATGCTATACTGTAAAATATGATTACAAAAATAAAGGATTTACCATGCAGACCAGTAGTTGTGTTGAGTAATTATTTTTTAAGTTTAGAGGATTTAAGTTAATCTGTAAACGTTTATTCATGTATGAAGTCAAAAAAAAAAAAAGAAGCTTGTACAATAGTAAAAATGAATCAACCTAATTTGCTGGGTAAAATGAACCTAACTTTGTTGTTTTTAACCCCGTGTATTTTAGAGTGAAACTTTGGCATCATCACTTCAGTTACTCTGTAAAGACCTGATGCACAGTAGAAAGAAAGAGAGTTATTTTAGTTGTATTTGCAGACAGACACTCTATCTACATCAAAGAGCCTGACTGCGGTCCAAGGAAAATCTTAAATATCAATTTATCAACCACAGAAACTATTCCACACGGGAGACGGACGGACACATCCTGACGGATGGATGATCATAGATCAGGCTTCCTCTAATGATCTATGGCGTCGTCGTCATCTGCAAAGCGCTGCTGAACTGTGTTCGCCAGTCTGGAGGATCACCGTCTGTCATGTGTGTGTGACGTGATGTGCATGATCCACTTTTTCACGGCTCTAACATGCACATGCTTTATTACACATGTATAACACAGGGTGTGTTGAAAGAAAATATGCTAATTACACATTTAAAACAACCAATTACTGACAGGTTGGTAAGAGGTTCTCATAGAGGACTGAATGCATTTAAAGAATAGAATGTGACAAAGGGAATTATCCTGCATGAATGAACACACACACACACACACACACACGAGGGGTGAATGTCCGCCTGTGACCCACTGCCCCCGTCCTGCTCACATATTAGATTTCACTGAGACAGATTTGCTTCAGAGAAACCTAAACTTGACATTTATATACGTCGCAGAAATGCACACACACACACACACACACACACACAAATGATTGGCAGGTACAAGAGCTGGGGCAGAACCCTTAAAAGGACAACTTTGCACCTATTCTACCCCCAAATAATGCAGTTTAGTACCTTCGAGTTAAAAGAGTAGTTCACTTTAAAAAAAAACTTTTGCTGATAATTTACTCGCCCCCGTGTCATCCAAGATGTCCATGTCTTTCTTTCTTCAGTCGAAAACAAATTAAGGTTTTTGATGAAAACATTCCAGGATTTTCTCCATATAATGGACTTCAATGGGAACCAAACGCTTCAAGGTCCAAATGAGAGTTTCAGTGCAGCTTCAAAGGGCTTTAAACGACACCAGACGATGAATAAGGGTCTTATTTGGACCCTTCGAGTCATGACTCGAAAAAAGATTTGTTCATTTTGATGAACGAGTTTGAATAGGAGAGTCACGAAAGCTCATCACAGAACAGAGCAAGGCGACCATTTGTGCTTATGAAACTTAAACTTTTTTATTTCTTTTTTAAATGACCGATCGTTTTGCTAGAAAAGACCCTTATTCATCGCCTGGAATCGTTTAAAGCCTTTTGAAGCTGCACTGAAACTCTCATTTGGACCTTGAACCGTTTGGTTCCCATTGAAGTCCATTATAAGGAGAAAATCCTGGAATGTTTTCATCAAAAACCTTAATTTCTTTTCGACTGAAGAAAGAAAGACATGGACATCTTGGATGACATGGGGGTGAGTAAATTATCAGCAAAAGTTTTTTTTTAAAAGTGAACTACTCCTTTAAGGTGTATGAACCTTTTAGGGATGGATGTTGTCCCTTTAAATGGTACTGACCCAGTGACAGCCGTAAAGGGGCAATTTTCGCAATTTTCAATTTTCTTTTTGAACTTTTGAAACGAGGACTTGAAGTTCTGACAGGTTTTCAATGAATTCTTCAATGCCATCTTTCAAACACACGCTTCAAACTCTTTCTCGCTGTCTCCAGCTGGGCCGTGTCCCGGGGGGTGTTTAGCTTCGGGGACAGATGTCCTGAGGGGGTGCTGGTATTGTCTAAAGCAGACTCTAAACTGTTATTATCCCCCCAAAAACTCAACCCATGGGGGACTAATTTAGGTCAGGAGTGGGGGAGACGGAGCCACAGAGAGCCAGAGGTTTACACACAACAACAACAACATAATCCAAACAATACAATACACACATCTACACTGAAAAAAAGTGTAGGATTCAACTTAAATACATTGCACTGATAGTGACAGACATGGCAAGTAAGACATTGACTCTGAAATGTTGAAGTAAAATGAACTTCCTTATTAACAATGTAACACTGTCTGCATAATCCATGCTCACAGAAAACACAGACATGCTTATAATGACTTACTATAAGGTTTTGACTGATGTATGTAATGTCTAGAGGCAGTTTTGTACCCACAGTACAGCTAAGTACACTATACCCCAATCACACACACACATATGCACTTACAAACATCTCAGTCAGTTGAGGTTGTGTAGAGGACTTCTGTTTGGTACACGCGCCCACCAGCATATACTAAGCCAAATGAATACTCTCAGTTCACAACTTGCCAAGACACACACATTTAGTTAAACACAGAGTGTCCTCACGGCAGGACTCGGCCAGTTTCCACACACACACACACACCAGCTCTGAAGCTCAGACATCAATCACCAAAGTGTTCAGATGTTGCCACACACATTCACAGAAAGCTTTCAAGAGCTGATGTGACACACACATGATCTAATTCCACACACAACCAACATAATAACAGTAACAACAAACACTATCATCTGTTTATGATACTTATTGCAAGTGTGATCTCTTACCCGTAGGCATTGCAGCTCGATCCAGATTTGATTACATATCCACTTAGTATTCCAGACCAGTGCCACACACACACACATAACACACTCTTCTAATCCTTCAATTCACTTTACATTCTCCCTGAGACACACAGGATTGCTCCGTCTGCGCGAGTGATACTGAGGGTATCTGCACCCCCCACACACACACACATTCAGTAAATCCTGGGTTCACACACATAAGCTCTGAGCCACACTGCAACGGTCTTGACGGTCTGCCTGTCACACACACATTGAGCAGTTCTGGATTCTCTTCCCAAATCTCCCTCCCTGTGGCTCCTCCCTCTCCCACAGAGTTCCCCTCTCTCTCTCTCTCTCTCTCTCTCTCGACTTTCTTCTGTGAGCTCCGGGACATTTCTTTTTTCCTAATTTCATGGGCCTTATGTTTGACATCACGGTCCTGTTCCAAACGCTTTTGAGGCTGTGTGACACGGTATCGTTTTGGCTGGGAGTTGTAAAATATTCATTTCATAAGTCTATGATTGTTTACTGTGACATGATTACGGCTCTCAGACAGATATCCATCAAGAATGTCTGGCTTTGATGAAGTCCTGACTGTCTCTACTGAGGGCAAAACATGAAGTGCAGTGCGATCCCTCAAACAACTCACAGAAATCACGAGAGAAACAATGAGAGCTTGGCATCGGCACACATAAAACACACTGCACACACACATATTGGGTAGAAAAACCTTTTCAAAAAACGTTTTTATCAATACAGTTCACTATTAAATAAATCACATTAAATATTTCTCTTGTATACTCCACCAATTTAGATACGCTTTTATTTCTTTGAGCTTGTCCCTTTAAAAAAAAAAAGTGCTTAGTTGTTTTGAATACACACTTTTGTGTATTTCAATCTTAAAAATGAATTTGAAAACGGCACTTGAATGTAATATTAAAAGGGGAGGTTGACTGCTTTTTTTATTTGCATGATTGTGTTTATAGGGGGGAATATAACATGTATTCGTGGTTTTTCTTTTTTTAAAAGTCTTATTTTTCATAAACTTCACCTTTATTGTCAGCCGCGCTCTCCTCTGTCCTCGAACGAGCGGTTGACTTCCTGAGTCTATGAAAACACTCCCTCAGAAACACGTCGTGGGCTCAGATTGGTTAGTTTGGGCCGATGTGTGGTGATTGGCTAAACTGTCGCTCACGTTGTCCGGAAGGTTAACGCCTATTACCTTTACGGGCGAAACGTGTCTGCGCTCCGGATGTAAATAATGGTGTCGAACTGCAGTATCAGTTTGAGGCAGAATCAGACCGAGAAAGCCACGATAAAGAGAGTCAAGCAGAACCTCACCACACACGGCTCTTAATAAACGTTTATGAATGATAATTTGCTACATTTTTTAACTTTATACACGTTTGTTTTACACAATAGCATCTGACTGGCAACAATAGCAACTGACTGGCTACTAATGTTAAACACAAACAGCGTTGGCAAGTTTACGTTCTTGATCAAATCGAAAATAACGTCACAAAGCATATATACGTGAAAAATACGTTTAAAACATTAGTACTTACATTCTAAAAATTTCTGGGTTGTTTTAACCCAACCTTGGGTCAAATATGGACAAACCCAGCCATTGGGTTCCATTTTTTAATTACATTTTTAACCCAACGTTTGGGTTTGAGCATATTTGACCCAAAGTTGTGTTAAAACAACCCAGTATTTTTAGAGTGTATACAAAATTCAGGTCGTGTTTGTCGTAGACACAATAGCATTACTAGTAGCCTATAGTGACTATAAAGCCAGCGCTGGCATTTGAAAAAAATAAAACACAAGGCTACGTCTGGAATTATACATGCAAATACATTTAAAATGATAAAGTCTTCGCCGACTTACAGGTTGTGGCCCAACAACTGCTGCCTCGGGTTTTAAAGTCAGAACTGCTTCATGTTTTAGTAACAGTTTCTTGTTGAATCCGGTGTTGAACTCGTGGAGATTCTGGAAGCTGTCTTCCGTAAATGCGCAGCACAGAGAGCTAGATTACGATCGTCATTTTCAGGAACATAATCAAACATAAATTGTATCCATTGTTGACGAAGTACAGAGTCCGTGGGAAGCTCGAATACATAAGACATGACAGCTATGACCTGACAATATGGCCATGCCCATTTTTTCATATTCCGGAGGGAGGGTTGAGGCAAATGTGTGGGTTAGTGACGTACCATAACCCAGCTGTAGTCCCAATCCAGTCGTTTTTGTAGGCAATTATACTTCCTGATTTTAAAAAGACGACATCTCTGCTTACACTGAGCTTTCAGCGCTGCAACTTTGCAGATACTGTTCATGCACCAACAGCAACATTACACACTATTTAAAATGAAAAAAGTGAAATCGCAGTCAAACCCCCCTTTAATGAGGTAAAACGAAGTCAACATTTTTCAACTGTTTCTTAATAAACGTGTATTTGTGTACAATAAAATATTCTGTGATTTTAGACGTAATTAAAACACTTTAAAGCTCAGCTTATTGCATATAATAGAAATTTAAACAAAATTTAAGTTATTTAAGTTAAAAATACACTGTGTTTGCACTTGTTGTTTATTTTCTGTAAAATGCTGGGTTGTTTTAACCCAATTTTGCGTCAAATATGGACAAACCCAAACGTTTGGTTAAAAATGTAATTTAAACATTTAAAACCCAAAGGCCGGGTTTGTCCATATTTGACCCAAATTTGGGTTGAAACAACCCAGCATTTTTAGAGTGTAATAAATACTATTTTTTTAAAGTAAACTTTTCTTTGGGATTGTCTTCTTTGCAAAGGATGCATATGGCAAAAGAAAGCATAATTATGTTTTCATTTCGCATTAGGAGTGTGGTTTAAAATGTTGTCTACCTACTAGGTTTTGGACTACAGTTCAGGTATACGGAAGGAAGAGACTCTTTTGTTTATTTATTTTGCGTTAGCTGAGCGTCACACACACACACACACTGAAACAGTAGCAGGGGGTTCAGGCCTGATCAATAGCTGAGAAAAACCCCACATAAAGACGGTCCTCTCTGTTCTCCTTCAGCTGAAACGAACAATACATCACAGCCACTTCACCAAACACTATCAGCTTTACTTCTGGCCACTAATGAGCCTCTTTACATCACCTTTCACTTATGCAGTTCATTCATTATATCTAATTATCAAGATATCTGTATACTCCCTATATATAACCATAACCCTAAACTTGCATTTTTACATTTTCAAAAAGAGATTTCCCTTATGGAAAATGTCCACACAAGGATTTCAAACATTGCCATCTTTGTGGGGGCATTTTGCCCTCATGATTTACTTGGACCATCGCACACACACACACACACACACATTAGTGACTACGGTTACACTGGCTGAGTGGCAGCGTTGGTGTTTAGTGTGAATGCCGCAAATAACACAAAACACATCTAAATCGGGAAAGGGCTGTGCGATTGACTTTACAGACAGATTCAACAAGAAATCTGAGGTACATTTATACAGACGGATGGCAAATGCATCGCTGCAATTCACTGAAACAACTGGACCCAGCCAGCGAAACCTGGATTTGGAGATAGCGTTTGTGTCAGATATGTTACATTTTGGGGTAAAATCACTCTCAAGGTTGTATATTGTGTTGACAATTCATCAATTAAATATTTACCATCTTATATTCTGTGTAACTGAAGTTTTTATTTAAAAAAAAAAACATCCATTATGAAGAGCTTTGTGTTGGTTAGATAATGTTAGACAAACCAATAGTTTCCCTTACCAAAGCAAGTTTAGACAGACAGAGAGATCAAAACACTACTACAAAATATATTAAAACAACCTAATAATCTTGAAGACAAGCCACATTTATTTGAATAGCTCTTCACAATACACATCTTTTCCAAGCAGCTTTACAGAAAGTCATAATGTTATGTCTATAATGCTTTAGCTGGGCAATATGCCAATATTAAACTCGAAACATTAGAATATCGTGCAAAAGTGCATTTTTGGTGAAACTAAAATTGACTCATTAATGAAAAAAGTGAGATATTTCAAGCCTTTATGTGTTATAATTGTGATGATTACGGCTCACAGCTTATGAAAACCTTTTCACAATGTTCTAATTTTGACTTTGGGGTTTTTATATCTGTAAGCCATATAATCCTTGAAAATAAAGCATTGAAATATCTCACTTTACATGTAATGAGTCTATATAATATATTAGTTTCACTTTTTAACTTGAATTACTGAAATAAATGAACTTTTGCACCATATTCTCATTTTTCGAGTTTGACCTGTAAAACAATGATGTAAGCGATCACTGTATCTATAGTGTTTAGCAGATAAGGCGTTCAAAGGCTTTGCATTATATATTTCCCCAGTATTAATATCAGGTAACACACTTCTGACAAGCATGCAAACAAATAAAGCGGAGCACACACAGAGAGTGATCAGTGAGCAATTGAAAGAGGGACGAGTCAAGCCAACAAACAAGCCTCACATCACTGTCTCACTGACGATTGAGTGACGTTCAGGGCTTCACCGGGTGTGTAGTAAGTGTGTGGTTAACAGGTTTCATTTGTGGCTTTGAGTTCATTCAGAATTGGCTTGAGTTAAAGAGAGTCTAAGTCAGAAGTAAAAACAGAGGTACATGCTAGTACAAGTGACTTTAACACACCTTTAACACATGCACACACACACACACTGTTCCAACACCTAAGAAACACACTGCTATTTTACACAATGCGATAGGCATCTGTGAAATTGCTAATACCTTTTAATGAGCACTGGTGGAACGCACACACACACACACATGCATGCATACACACATGCACTCATACACAGACTCTCTCTCTCTCTCTTTCGCACACACACAGACACACACACTCAGTAACTAGCTTGACTATCCTCAGTCGGCAGGGCTATTCATATCCAGTGACCCAAATTAAGAAGTGACCACCTCTCAGCTCCAGCATGCAGCTCATCACACACACACATATTTATACATAAATATTTGCCCATGTGACAAATCCAGCTTACTGTCAGTGAAAACTGCGAGGTGGTTCACCAAGGTTTGTGTGTGTGTGCTCTGCATTGTAACAAAAGCTACAAGAGCTTGTTGTCAGTCAGAATTGATGGATTAAAGTCTCTCTCACACACCCAAATCCAGCCCTATTCACAGTTTCAGAGTTTAGATCGGCAGTCTAATCCCTGATCACTCAAACAAACTGAACAAAACCCCCCAAGAACAGGAAGAGGGTGAGATTTCACACAAACAC